AAACAATTAAAAAAGTGTTATATATTAAATTATTTAATAATTTTTTTTTAAATGTATTTATTTTAATATTGAAAGTTATTATTTATTTATTAAAATTATTATATTTGCTTTTTTTATAGCATGATATAATGTAATTTAATAAAAAAATTAAGTTTTTTTTAAATTTATCAGGTGGTTCTAAACTTTTGGCCAGGAAGTGTATTTATATATACAAAGCATATCCTTCTAAACAAATTGTTTCCAAAGACCTATTATCTTATCTACTTCTTTAAAGGTATATACTGAAATTTTAAAACAAGACCTAGTAGGACCTATAGCAGATTGACAATTAATACAACAAATTATTACCTTTTTAACACTAACTGCATCTAGCTTATCTAATACACCACCTAACTCACCCTCACTGGAAGAAATCATGAGTGTAACAGAAGCTGAAATAAAAGCTATTTTCTAAGAGGTTTTTGAAAATAATAGAGCACATTTGACAGATATTAGCGAATGACTTAGACTAGCTTAAAGAGGAGAAAGATCCATAATCAAAATTGATTATTTCTCAGGAGCTGAAAATGAAGATCCTGTAAAATGGTTTGCCGTATTTGAAAGAGCTTGCAACTACTAACAAATGAATAACTGAAGTACGAAAAAAAGCTATTGCTAAAGTACACCTTAAAGGTGTAGCTGCTAATTAACTCAATAGTATAACCACTACTATAGAAGATAGTTAGAATATAGAAATAAATAGTGAACAAAATTTCGTGGATCTAATTAAAGCTCAATTTATTAGTAAAACTAGAAAAATTTAATGGTATCAAGAATTGACCTTGAAAAGCTAGTAACTTGTATATGATTAACTGATAATGCACAAATGAAAAAAATGTTTCTTATGAGAGTCAATCTTACTTATATCCTAATAGTCTATTCTCAAAATTTAGCTAATTTAGATGTTACTATAAACTCTACACGAACTATCAAAATTGAATATAACTTCACCTTAATAAAGCATCTATAGATTTTAGCACTACTACAGTTTCTACTCCTAAAAATGTAATTATAAATACTGAAATAGATGAACTCACTAAGAAATTAGAATAACTATCTATTAACTATACCAATTTGATAACTGCTTTATTAGCTCAACTTCAACAACATCCAAGAAGACGAACTGATGAACTTATAATTGATGCTACAAGGAGACTTAAATAAACATGCTTTTTATAACTTGTTATAATTATAATAGGGAAGAACATATATCTAGAAATTGTCTTCAATCTTATTAACAGCTAAGAAGGAATGATAGGAAATCTTGTTATGATAATACAAGGAATATACATTTAGTTGACTAATATTATAAGAAGGAGTACGATAATGAAAAATATATTTCAGAAGAATATTATAATAAGGATGAATACGAAGTCTACTTGAATACTAGATCTGAGTCTTATCTAAGAAATACTATTTCTAAAAACAAGAGAGTATCTGCAAGATTTCAGAGCTACGTCAAATTACAATTGTTGAAGATTTAGAAATGGAAGAACCTATATCAAAACTAGCATCTGAACTGAAAAAGCATTAAAAATCCTTTGATAAAGGTTATTGCCTACTTTTATTGAACAACTAACTGAATTTAACAATTTTACATATCTGCAAAATTTACCATGTGGATTTTCAGTTAGCCAAGCTGCACATGCTATTCCTAAATATCATTCTGAATTAGATCGAGCTATCAGGCGTTCAAGAGAAAGAGCTACTAATAAAACTAAAGAACTAATCTGGTAGAAAGTGATGATGAACTGACATCTGCTGCAAAATTTACTTTGAGGATTAAACAAAAAGCTCAAACTGCTATCATAGATAGTAGAGTTACTACTAGCATCATAACTAAAGTCCTAGTAGAAAAATTAGGATATAAAATGAATTAACCATCAAAAATGATAGTAGTAACTGCAAATAGTGTAAGAACTTATTCTCTTGAAATCATTGATAATATTTCAATAAATATTGGAAAAATTAAAGTACCTACATCTTTTTAAGTACTCAAATCTAGAGATGAAATTCTTATATTTAGCAATAATTGGCTTAGAATAACTAATGCTACTATGAGCTAGAAACAATCAATCCTTACCATCAAACAAAATGGAATTATCATGAAAATTTCTATTGCTTTTACCAAAACAGCTAAAGTCATGATTCAGGAAGCTGAGAACAAATATGAAAGTGAAGAACATGAAAATGAATATTTAAAAAAATATCTATCTACCTATCTGATGATGTTAAATCTGAAGAATCTGAATTAGATGATGAATTAGGATTTAGCCCTAGTCTGACCATTACTCTTCTATTCAATCAGAAGAAGATACTAATAACAATGATGAATTAAATGAATAAGTAGATGATAATCCAGCTACTTACCTTACTGAAATCACTAAATACTTAGCTGAAACTGATTCAACTCATCTGAAATAACTAGAACTTTTAGTTTATCATCAACAACAAATATTTCTCAACCTTTTGGGAGATTATTATGACATTTGTGTAAAAAATCAAATAGAAATAAAACGAATAACAGAAATTAAATATCACATTTATATGGGACAGCCATATCAATTGTTCAAAAACTATTATCAAACTAATCCTGAAAATACTAGATTTTTGAATGAAGAATTGAAAAAATGGAAGCAAATAGTATAATTTGATCCTCTTATAGTCTATGAGCTTTCCTTATTATAATTATAAAAAAGAAAGAAAGAGAAAAGAGATTATATATTAATTACTAAAAAGTAAATGCTGTCACAAAAATCGATGCATATTCATTACCAAGAATTGATGACTTATTAGATTTATTAGGTAGAGCTAATTGATTCACTACTCTTGACTTAGCTAGTAATTATTAGCAAGTAGCAATACATTTTGATAACATTGAGAAAATTGCATTTATTACGACAAATAGACTATATGAATTTCTAATCATGCTCTTTGGATTAAACAATACATCTGAAATATTTCAAAGGCTCATGAATTAGTTCTTAAAGATTTCCTTAGATTATTTGTATTAGTTTATCTGGATGATATAATCATTTATACAAAAAGACTTTTTGAATTACATGCTGACTATATCAAACAAGTATTTCAAGTTTTTAGAAATGCTCATTTTGTGATAAAATTGAAGAAATGCTACTTTTGTCAACCTTCTTTAGCATTCTTAGGATATATCATAGGATAAGAAGGAATTCAACCTGATCCAGAAAAGATCAAGAAAATTAAAAAATTTCTAAAACCAAAAAGTTTACTCAACTACATGCTGCATTAGGATTATTTGAATATTATCAAAAATTTATTAAAGATTTTGCATGACATACTAAACCATTAATCCTATTGTTGAAGAAAGACCAACCTTTTGAATGAAAAGAGAAATAACAATATGCCTTTAATCAACTAAAGAAAAGACTTGTTAAAGCATTAATATTACAATACCTAAATTTTAATATACTATTTACTTTATATACTGATATTTCAAAGAAAGGATTAAGTGTTATGCTATCTCAAAGAAGAATAGAAAAGAATACGTGATTGTATATGCTAGCGATTAACTAATAAAACTGAAAAAAATTACCCAATCACTGATTTAGAATATTTAGCAATTATCTGATCAATTAAACATTTTCATCATTATTTAAGCTGACCATTCACTATTGTAACTAACCATACTGCTTTAAAATAGTTAAAAATCTCAAAAATGCTAAAAGGAAGACATGATAGATGGATTATAGAACTACAATAATATTATTTTACTATAGAATATAGAGCTGAAAAGCATAATACAAATGCTGATGCTTTATCACATATGTATGATGAAAAAACTGCTAAATGTTTCATTATTAATCTTACTGAAACAGATATAGCAGATTATGAAATAAAAATAATAGTATAAGAGATTCAAAAGAAAATATAGAATGGCATATTTCTTCTCCTAAATCTGGAGAAAATGATAAATGGTTTGAGAAAGAACTGTTTCAATAATACTCTAATACAATTTTGATTACTGCTGTTGATTACAAATTTCCTAAAGATGAATTAGAAGAAATTTATCATGAAAATATATAAATCAATTAAGTAATTGCTAGACAGCCCATTAACAGAGGAGAATCACAATATACTTTCTCCTGCAATACTGAAAACTATCATATCATACATATTGCAATGCGTGTAAGAAAAATTTATTGTATGGAACTATCATTTATAATTGTATCATTAGATATGGTCTAGGAAAGATCTAACTAGATATGAAATCAGAATATTTGACTAATAATCTTTAGTGTAAAGAACCTCTTTTAGTATAACAGAAAAATATTCATGTGCAATTACACTTTTATCTTAGTGATATTGACAATACACCTCTTTTTCCTTCTTACTAAATTAACAATTAACACAAAATAAAAAATTAAGTGAAAGTGAAAGTATTTACAGTATAATAAACAGCTTGAATTTTTAACTATGAAAGAATAGCAATATAATTAATTATTTAATTATTTAATAAACCAAACTTATTCCACTACTCTTAATCAAACACAACAAAACAAATTAACTGTGTTATTAAAAATTTTATTATCAAACACAATTTATTATATAAAATCAACAAAAATAATCCAAACAATCCTATTAGAATACTCAAAAGAATAGAACTAAAACCTGCCTTTATATGTTTCATAATAATTTAACTGCTGCTTATAGTTCAAAAGAAAAGATGATGGAGAAAATCAGAAGAAGATTTTTTAGTCTCAAATGTTAAAAGATATCAAAAACTATGTACAATTATGTGACTCTTATCAGAAGAGAGGAAGAGCCTTCAGAATAGAACCTCTACATCTTATACCTATAGGATAACCTTTTCATCATATTAGAATAGATTATGTTAGATCTTTACCAGTTTCAAGTAAAAAAATAAATATATAATCATACTATAAACTATTTAACTAAGTGACCAGAAGCTAAGCCTATAAGAGAAGCTACAGCCAAAACAACTGTACAATTCATATATGAAGACATTATTTGCTAACATAGATGCCTTAGAGAAATATTTACTGATCATGATACTCATTTCAACAATTAATTATTATATGAGTTATTACAAAAATTTTAAATACCTCATAGAATGTCAACGCTATATTATCTACAGACTAATGTAATGCTCTAAATGGTTTGATTCAGTCTGGATTATAGGCCAATCTGAAATTGAATTGAAAATTTCAGTTCAGTTCAGTTCAGATTATAAATCTTAAAAATGCCAATCCAAAACTAAACTGAACTATAAACTGGTAAAAATCTGAACTGAACTGAAAATTTCAGATTAATCTAAATTTCAGATCGTTTGAAATGATAACTTCAATTGTTCCAAATGAACGATTCTCTTATCATTCATTTGAAATGATAACTTCAATCGTTCTAAATAAATGATTCTCTTATCGTTCGTTTAGAATGATAAGAGAATCGTTCTAATTGAATGATTCTCTTATCATTCTTTTGGAACAATAGTTTCATCATTCCAATCAAACGATTCTCTTATCATTCATTTAGAATGATAGTTTTATCATTCCAATCAAATGATTCTCTTATCATTTGTTTGGAATGATAGTTTCATCATTCTAAATAAATGATTCTCTTATCATTCATTTAGAATGATAGTTTCATCGTTCCAATTGAATGATTCTCTTATCGTTTGTTTAGAATGATAGTTTCATCATTCTAATCGAACGATTCTTTTATCGTTTATTTGCAACAATAGTTTCATTATTCCAATCGAATAATTCTCTTATTGTTCGTTTGCAATGATAGTTTCATCATTCCAATTAAACGATTCTTTTATCGTTCGTTTAGAATGATAGTTTCATCATTCCAATTGAATGATTTTTTTATTGTTTGTTTAGAACGATAGTTTCATCGTTCCAATCAAATGATTTTCTTATCATTTATTTAGAACAATAACTTCAATTATTCCAAATGAACGATTCTTTTATCATTCTTTTGAAATGATAATTTAATTATTCCAATTGAACGATTTTCTTATCATTCGTTTGGAATGATAACTTCAATCATTCTAAAAGAACAATAAATATAATCGTTCCAAATGATCTGAAATTTTGGATTAATCCAAAATTTTCAGTTCAGTTCAGATTTTTTTCAGTTCAGATTAGATTATCATTCAAAAAAAATCTGAAGCGAACTGAAAATTTTCAGATTGAATTTTTTGCAATCTGAAACTAAACTGAAGTTGATCTAAACTGAAAATTTTCGGATTAATCCAAACCGTTCAGAGCTTTAAACTAATGGATGAAAGGTTTAATAGAACTTTAATAAAAGCTCTTACATAAACTGCTACCAATCATCATAGAGATTGAGATTGTTTCATTACTCCTGCACTTTTTGCCTATTACACAAATGAACATTCTGTTACAAAAATATCACCTTTCTTCCTTATGTATAGATGAGAAGCTAAATTACCAATGAATAGTATAGAAAAAGAGAAGGA